ATATCACCCGCCTCCATTCATTCCTAGCCTTTGAGTTTCATTGCTGCAAATATCACATGATTTCATACATTCCCAGCCTTTGAGTTTCATTGCTGCAAATATCACTCGCCTCCATTCATCTCTCTTTTTGACCTTCTCTTTCCAGTTGCTGACTCCAAGTGTTTTATTTTTTAAATGTCTGTCTGTATATTATTTCTCCGCCGTCTTCTTAGTCTGCCTCGTGGTTTACTCCAAGTGAGCCCCCCCCCCTCCCCCCCCGTATTTTCCTCTCAGTTCACTAGCATTTGTCTCCATATGTCCCAGTCACTACAGCTGACTACAGAACAATTGCTGTGCGAACAAATAAAGCTCATAGCCCGTCTTCAGTTCATTATATCATTGCCATACCAATTGTGTGTGTGTGTGTGTGTGTGTGGAAAAGGGGGGGGGGGGGCAATTTGTTTAAAAGCGACTGTGGCGGCTTTTAGCTGGTGCAGTTAATATCCTGGGTAGTAAGTTTGATGTAATAAATATATTTACTGTTTAAATTCTTTAATGAAGAGCGATTTTTAAATCTGAGTATTGTTAAGCAGAGGGAAAACTCGTTCTACAGCTGGACAGGAAAGAGGTCATGCCAAAAGACTAAGCATAAAGTCTGACACTAAAGAAAAGCGATTTTCAACTCTACATTGTTCTTCTCAAATTGTGAACCAGAATGTGGCTGGATTTGTTTTTTTTTAGAACTGGGTGGTTGATCTTGCACTAACAGCTCCCTATTTTTTTAACTTGTTCATAACTGTTTTCTTTAGCAGAGATTGACATTTCCTGACGTCGGTTGTCTTTCACAAACACTTATCTTACAAAGTAAAAACACACATTCCACGCCTTCAGGGGTATTAGGATATGGGGCTAGACCTATATTTTATACACAAATCGACACTTGGTGGGTTATGTGTCAGCACCACACCGGCTGCCTTTACTTCCCACGACTCCATCTGGTACCCATTCAAGGCTGGGTCGACCTGGGAACCAAGGTCATTAAAAAAAAAAGCCCAGCACTGTCAGGACCCGAATCCACGACCTTTCGATTGGCAGGCGAGCGTCTAGCCGCTACACAACGGCGGCTCATCTCGAAATAAAACCTAATCAGAAAAGCTTGAGCTTTCAGTAAACTGGAATATAAACTGCGACAACAAACAAGAAAGTCAGTTGTCTGCACGGACACTCTTACACTGACCAGTTGTCTGCACGGACACTCTTACACTGACCAGTTGTCTGCACGGACACTCTTACACTGACCAGTTGTCTGCACGGACACTCTTACACTGACCAGTTGTCTGCACGGACACTCTTACACTGACCAGTTGTCTGCACGGACACTCTTACACTGACCAGTTGTCTGCACGGACACTCTTACACTGACCAGTTGTCTGCACGGACACTCTTACACTGACCAGTTGTCTGCACGGACACTCTTACACTGACCAGTTGTCTGCACGGACACTCTTACACTGACCAGTTTGTCTGCACGGACACTCTTACACTGACCAGTTGTCTGCACGGACACTCTTACACTGACCAGTTGTCTGCACGGACACTCTTACACTGACCAGTTGTCTGCACGGACACTCTTACACTGACCAGTTGTCTGCACGGACACTCTTACACTGACCAGTTGTCTGCACGGACACTCTTACACTGACCAGTTGTCTGCACGGACACTTTTACACTGACCAGTTGTCTGCACGGACACTCTTACACTGACCAGTTGTCTGCACGGACACTCTTACACTGACCAGTTGTCTGCACGGACACTCTTACCCTGACCAGTTTGTCTGCACGGACACTCTTACACTGACCAGTTGTCTGCACGGACACTCTTACACTGACCAGTTGTCTGCACGGACACTCTTACACTGACCAGTTGTCTGCACGGACACTCTTACACTGACCAGTTGTCTGCACGGACACTCTTACACTGACCAGTTGTCTGCACGGACACTCTTACACTGACCAGTTGTCTGCACGGACACTCTTACACTGACCAGTTGACCATGAAATAGAAGCGCACTTGACCAATCACGTCAAATTATAATTATATACTAGCACCAACAATTGCACCATGCTGATTTTGTTTTCTTAGTACTCTCCAGAACACTGTTTTTTTTAAAAATTATTTCAAGTTCAACACAATGCTAAGATTTCAAATACTGATGCCAAATGTCTAGAATGTACCAAAACATCGAGCGTGGTGTCAATGGAAGTTGTTCTCGGCAAGGGTCAAATAGAACCACATGTGTACGCAAGTATCACCCTCGGCAGTCCTGCTCGGAAGGCGGGATAGCGATTCTAAAACACTGGGTTTGTCACATGTCGGTAGTTCCATCTTTCTCGGTCAGCCATCTGGCAATCTGTCGTGAACATCGAAATAAAGCACGATGTCAGAGAGCCACTGACGATCTCTCGGGACACAACTACACAGCTACACCTGTGGACCGAACAACACAGTTCAAAACCTACGATCACAACAGCGCCCGTCAAACGGTTTGACCACTTCGGTGACAGAGATCTTCTTTAAAAAAAAATACATTTCACTTAAAAATTGCTGACTGATGCCTAGATAAAGAGTGGTTACGTCACCTGATCGTATACAATCTGCCAAAGTGCCGCCGAATTTGGTGGTCAGGCCCCGGAGCTGGGTGAAGATGTTGGGCGTCAAGTACTTCTTCAGCAGAGACTTGGATTCCTTAGCCTGCTGCAGGGCCTGGTAAAGACGATCTACTTCTTCTGCCATTGTTGAGTCAAATTTGCTGCAGACTGGAGACTATGGGCGGGGCGGGACTGTGCTGTGTGTGAATACTTCACAGAAGAGAGAACTATCACAGCAGGGCAAGGCAGGTATAGAGGACTTGCGACACTGTGACTAGACTATAAACCAATCATCATCCTCGATACAACGAACTGCACTACTTCCTGTAAACTAGAGACCAAAGTATTTCTGACAAAGCATGTCCTTGTCGTTATCTTGATTGTTTCAGAGAACTGCGGTCTATTTTACTGAATCTATAAGTTCACCAAACTTTAATGTTAAAGGAAACAAGTAAATTAGCGCTGATTGGTTCGATAAATAATCCATGGTAAACTTCGCTGCACACGACAGGTGTTGTGGCTATTTAGTGTGGCTGCAGTTTGGAAACTCCTCATCACAATCTATGGTTACAGGTACGCCAGCTAAAGCTCCACGTGGAGGAGGAGAAGGAGAAAAAATACTGCAAGGTAAATGATGGTTCTGTGATAAGGTCTCAGGAGCCAAACAATAAGGAGCAGCACTGACAGGTGCGACTGATTCACAAGTTGGTCAATTGATGTCCCGGATCTGAGTTGTCCCTTATGATACATCTCTCTCTCTCTCTCTCTCTCTCTCTCTCTCTCTCTCTCTCTCTCTATCTCTCTTTCTCTCTCTCTCTCTCTCTCTCTACTCAACAATACAAAATCCATAACAGTACATATCTGTCTCTGTAAGTTTTTTCCACTGTTGCGTATCCTTTACAGGACGTTGCAGAACCAACCCCAGCACTTTCTGGCTGTTATGGTTTTTCTAGGCAAATTTACATCCAGTAGTTTGTCTTTGCTTCCTAGACGGTCGGCTCTCGGTACCACGGTCGAAACCATCGCAAGACAAACCGTCTGCAGCAGGGATCAAACCCGGCACCCCCGCATTACAAAGCGCGTTTGCAACGCCTAAGCCACAGACGCCAGTGTACACAACTCATTTGCAAAGTCCTGCCACTACAAATGCAGTTATACAGTGTCTTGTTTGTTTGTTTTAGTATCCAGAAGCCATGAGTTATAACCCTTAGGCTCGGTGTTATGGATATCGCAACCTTTCGGCCTTGATTCCATTGTAAATACCGTAAATCTGGGAGAAAATGTGGCTTTCCTGCCCACCCCAGGGATTGAACCCGGACCACAAGGAGTTCGTCACCTGGTCTCCGCGCAATCCAGTTTAGCCAACTACGCTAGAGACCCGGGCATACAGTGTCTTAAGGATACACATATGTCCCTAAACTGTCGCAAGGGTCATAACAACGTCCCAAAAGTACAACCCGACATGTAACTTCTGAATTAATAGTGTGAATCTGTGTGTTAATTCTACCAACTATATCCGCCGATCACGAAACGCTATCGCCGTTATAATGTCAATGGTTAGAGATGGATGTATACCAAAGTTCAGCACAGTAACAGGGAAAGGCAGATAATGCCGTTGACGTAGGCCTCTTAGACAAACAACTGTGGATACTGACTGGGCTTGGGGTCGTTCTCCTTATGGAAACAGATCACTGATCATAATCTACTACTATGATGTGTAGGTCTAACACAATACCACGTGCAGAAACAGTCCCTTGCAGATTCGATCTCCCACATACACAAGTAGTATATTCACGCGCAGGCAAACAGTTCACCCTACCAGAACGCATACTATCTTTTGCCAGCTAGTAAATAAATTTACCAGGGCGTGTACAATCTTCTGCCAACTAGAAAATAAATTTACCAGAACGTATACAATCTTCTGCCAACTAGAGAAAAAAACTTTCCAGAATGTTTACAATCTTCTGCCAACTAGAAAATAAACTTTCTAGAATATATATACAATCTTCTGCCAACTAGAAAACAAACTTACCAGAACGTATACAATCTTCTGCCAACTAGAAAATAAACTTACCAGGACGTATACAATCTGCTGCCAACTAGAAAATAAACTTTCTAGAATATATATACAATCTTCTGCCAACTAGAAAATAAACTTACCAGAACGTATACAATCTTCTGCCAACTAGAAAATAAACTTACCAGAACGTCTACAATCTTCTGCCAACTAGAAAATAAACTTACCAGAACGTATACAATCTTCTGCCAACTAGAAAATTAACTTACCAGAACGTCTACAATCTTCTGCCAACTAGAAAATTAACTTAACAGAACGTATACAATCTTCTGCCAATTGGAGAAAAAAAACTTACCAGAACGTATACAATCTTCTAATCGTCCACCGAATTCGGTGATTCTGTCCCTAAGTAGAACTAACAGTTCCGGTGTTAGATGCCTCTTCAGCAACGAGCAGCATTTCGTTGGTGGATTACACAACCGGTCCCACAACTGATCCAGACTGGCATCTCTGCAAATTTCATCCGGCTGCAGCCCACTTCCGGGCAGACTGATACTGTCCTCTTCCTGTCCACGGATGGCTTGATCAGCCTTGTCTTCAACTTTCACAGCGCCGACTAGATGACCAGTGTCCACTCGTGTGAGGTTTTCCCCTCTTGTGTCTGTGTTTTCTGACACACAATTCTCGATAACCGACCCTCTACTATCTTCCTTTCTCTGCAGATTAACCAATCTGCTGTACCTGGAATACATCATGTATTTATTTCCCAAATCAGAGACAACAACCTAAAAAGTTGCACTACTAAAAACTGAAGAACACAACGGCGGAGAGTCTCGCGAAACAATTTTATAACACATGTAGAATCGAGACAAACGTTGGCGTGTTTCAAGAACGGACACAAAAACAGACAATCCACAAAGTCTGACAGCAGTGTCTGCATAATCTCTACATAGGCTGTTACATTGGTGACAGCCTATCTAAGACTCTCTTCCCCTCCCCCCCCCCCCCCCCCCAACCACTAAATCATGGCTCCCTTAGCAACGCAGACGCAAGTTATTGGAGTTACGGGTTCTTTGCTGCCAGGCACCCACCAACATAACAACGTATATCTGCCACAGTACAAACAACACCTCAAACATAAAACCGATCTCTGGATCACACAAACATGCCCCGCCAACCCCCCCCCCCCCCCCCCCCAACAGGTCATAAAATCGATCATGAGGTAATACATCCACCCCTGCTGAACATAAAATCGATTATGAGGTAACACATCTACCCCTGCCGAACATAAAATCGATTATGAGGTAACACCCCCCCCCCCACCCCCCACCACCGATCCCTGGGTAATCCCACCACCATCCCCCTTCCCCCGCCCAAATTGATCTCACGAGACCGGAGCCAGAAAAGTGCCCAATATAAATTGGAAACCTACAAGAGCTTGGAATGTCCTCTAGCGCGCATGTGCATATCTGCCTCAAGGAGACATTCTTATCTCCCGGCGGGCAGAAACAGGGGAGGAGGGAGGAATCGATACGTCTGGGAATGGCTGAGGACAAGTAGGGGAGGCATAGACGTGAACACTGACGGCAGGATATAGACAATGAGTGAGAGAGATAGGAGCGGTGAGTCAAAGGGGAGGCATAGACATGAACACTGACGGCAGGATATAGACAATGAGTGAGAGAGATAGGAGCGGTGAGTCAAAGAGGTGGAGAAAAAGAGATAGAAAGAGTATGTGTGTCAACAAATAGGAGAGAGGGGGGGGGGTGTCGGTGGAGGTCACAGAGAAAGGAAAGGAGAAGAGAAAGAGAGAGAGAAATGAGCGAGAGGCATTGAAGAGAACAAAACAAGCAAAAACTTGAATAGCAAAAATAAATGGGTGCCTTCGCCCCCCGCCTCCCTTCCGGGGGGGAGAGGGGGGGGGGTCATTCGGACCAGGGTTAGACTGTGTCTCTATATTTTTCTTCTCTGGACTGACACCCGAAAGGAAATCTGACTACCCGTGTAACATCAACAATCGCATCTGGGTCTGAGACGGCAAACCAAGAGGACACAGTCGCAGATCCCGTAACGTCAAGCATTACTCTGAAGTACTGCGCGGGTAAGGGGCCCGATTGACTGTTAGATGCTAGCAGAACCATTTCTAGCGATCCGGTGGTGCCGCAATTCTCGGGTTCATAAATACGTCCCAGAAAAGCATCAGATCGTAGGAAGACACCAGATCCGCTTGGCCACGGCAGAAACCTCAGAGATGTCAAGATGGCTTCTTACAATCAACCCTGACACTTTAAGTTCGGACTAACTGAGCGTATCGGTGTCCATCTGTTTGTGGCACTTGTAACAACGTATGACTTCAATAGGTACAACACTGATACAGTTAAGAAACCTCTCTTGTTGTCTCTCTATATCCCCCCCCCCCCCCCCCTGGACCCACTCACCCACCGTTTGCACCTGACCTTAGATGTGAGGAACATGTATGAGAATGTATTTCTATACATTTCTGTGGCCATGTTACGAGTCTAATAGGAGTGTCTTACTGTCAAACATGGTAAACTGCTGGACGTAAATTTGCCTAGAAAACCCACACAACAGCCAGGGGCTGTTGGGGTTGGTTCTGCAACGTCCTGTAAAGGATACGCAATTAACTAACCTTTACTTTCAAACACTGGGATACAGACAGGTCATCGAGCAAGTTCTCCACTGACCAGGGATTCTTTCAATGTGCTAGTACTACAACTAGCCAGCAGACGACTACCGTTGACTCATCTGTAACGATCAATAGTTCTTCACTGCACAAAGCTCATGCGTGGTTTCCGAACGTGGAAGTGCTTTCTAGTAGAGCTGTCGAAGTCCTCTGGATAAGCTTTAGTCAGCTTTTGACAGCACTGACAATACCCTTCAGTGTAAGCAGATGATGAAGAGATACATACATAGAAAACTCTATTTTTCATCTTTTTCTTTGTATATTTCTCCTTTAATTTTCACAGCTTCCAGTTTGTCAACAACTCCGTAAAAAGTGGTGATATGATAGGTATACTTCTGCTGAATGATTTCCTTTGTCAGAATTTACATATTACGAAATGTGGCATGCTATAAAGTCAGGCCAAACAGCACTGACAACGTCCTCCTGTTTACATAGCCACTGCGGGCTGGCAGCTGAACGTCTAAAAGAGGAACCAGATAAACCAAAAAGGCGCGCATGCACACACACGCACACACACACACACACACACACACACATTGTACAAGCAAATAATGCAAGTATCAGATCTGCCGACAGAAACTGTGCGGGAGACGGGTACAAGATTACATGACACAAGAATCCTTTACGTGGGGTGTATACTTAATGCAGTCTGATCAAATGTATTCCAATAAACTAATCCAGTCCATGTTTCAGAAGATAAGTCTATCGTGTCGCAGACGTGTGCCAGCAGTAGGGGGTAAATCCTACATGAAATATCCAGTTGTGTGGTGTAATTTTATGGACACCGCTTGTAAGAGCTTCTGTTATTTCATAGGACACACACACAAACACACACACAGGGAGAGCGAGAGAAAGAGAGAAAAGAGAAAAAAGGGAGAGAGAGAGAGAGAGAGAGAGAGAGAGAGAGAGAGAGAGAGAGAAGGTAGGAGGGGGCGTCTAATTTAGCTATAAGCACAATAAGCTACAACTTGTTTAGTGCAGAGTGGCATGCCTCGCTGAGGAGGATACGTGTGAGGAGTATTGTTTGAATATTTTAACCAGGGCAAGCCGGTGTGTTGGGAAATGAACAGAGGGACAGACTGGCTGGCTCTGTACAGCTTGGTGGAAATACTGATGCACAAGGCAGATGTGGTTTGTACCTTGTGGGAGAGAGTGTACATTTCGGAGGAGCAGATTGATCACCACATTCTGGTGAGATTGATGCATGGAGGAGTGATGAGAGGTTCTGGCAGATGCTCGAGGCTCAGAGGAAAGGCAAGACGGACGTTTAATCAGAATGCTTTTGGCACCATTAGTATCGGAACTCTTCGCCGGCTGCTGCAGATGGGGACGTAGCGCTTATGGAAATGCCACGAGCGCTGTGATGTCGGCTGTTGAATCAAATAAAATAAAATAAGCTACAACTTAGAACTACACAATCTCCAGGGGCCTCGAGATTCCTATTTTTTTTTAACTAATACCCTTTTCTTTTAACTTATTTTAAATGTAGTTTCTTTCTAATTTATTTTACATATTCGTCTTCCCTAAATATTTTAAAATGATGAATACTATGTTGGACATATTATCTCTGGATGTTGTTGATTGTAACTTGTTGTCGCCTAATAAAGGCCCATATACTGTCCAGTGTTTTGAGATTATCTGGTGTAATTTAAAACGGAAGGGGCCTTATGTTTGTATTTAGCTGAGGGCCTGGTCAAGTCCACATCCCTCCCTGTGGACCATCATTACCTTAGCTCGATACGACAGACATAAGCTCGCTACGACAGACATAAGCTCGCTACGACAGACATAAGCTCGCTACCACAGACATAAGCTCGCTACCACAGACATAAGCTCGCTACCACAGACATAAGCTCGCTACCACAGACATAAGCTCGCTACCACAGACATAGGCTCGCTACCACAGACATAAGCTCGCTACCACAGACATAAGCTCGCTACCACAGGCATAGGCTCGCTACCACAGACATAAGCTCGCTACCACAGACATAAGCTCGCTACCACAGACAAAGGCTCGCTACCACAGATATAAGCTCGCTAAGACAGATATCAGCTCGCTACCACAGATATCAGCTCGCTATCACAGATATCAGCTTGCTACAACAAATATCAGCTTGCTACAACAAATATCAGCTTGCTACAACAAATATCAGCTTGCTACCACATATTTCAGCTTGCTACCACAGATATTAGCTTGCTACCACATATATCAGCTTGCTACCACATATATCAGCTTGCTACTACAGATATCAGCTTGCTACTACAGATATCATCTTGCTACCACAGATATCAGCTTGCTACAACAGATATCAGCTTCCTACCATAGATATCAGCTTGCTACCACAGATATCAGCTTGCTACCATAGATATCAGCTTGCTACCATAGATATCAGCTTGCTACCATAGATATCAGCTTCCTACCATAGATAGTTGATTGCTACCACAGATACCAGCTTGCTACCATAGATATCAGCTAGCTACCATAGATATCAACTTGCTACAATAGATATCAGCTTGCTACCATAGATATCAGCTTGCTACCATAGATATCAGCTTGCTAACATAAATATTAGCTTGCTACCATAGATATCAGCTTGCTACCATAGATATCAGCTTGGTACCACAGATATCAGCTTGCTACCATAGATATCAGCTTGCTACCACAGATATTAGCTTCCTACCATAGATATCAGCTAGCTACAACAGATATCTGCTTGCTACCACAGATATCAGCTTGCTACCAGAGATATCAGCTTGCTACCATAGATATCAGCTTGGTACCACTGGTATCAGCTTGCTACCATAGATATCAGCTTGGTACCACAGATATCAGCTTGCTACCATAGATATCAGCTTGCTACCATAGATATCAGCTTGCTACCATAGATATCAGCTTGCTACTATAGATATCAGCTTGGTAACACAGATATCAGCTTGCTACCATAGATATCAGCTTGCTACAACAGATATCAGCTTGCTACCACATATATCAGCTGGCTACCTTGGAAATGAAGAAGACTATAAACCTGCAACAATTTTCGCTGTCTAACT